TTCGAACCGTCCATCTGTTAATTGATTTCACGTGCTTGCAAGGATCTCACCCAGCATATGCTTTGTAATTTAATGCATTAATCAAATATAGTTTCATTATTTGTCATTTTGAGAAGCTATGTTAAGATAATTTCGGATATTTTCCGAAAACAAAACGAGTGCCATCTACTTAAGTTTTTCGCAGTAGATTTGTTTGATCACATGCGTAATATTCATATAAAAAGATTTAGGGGTCTGGATTGAGAACAAAAGCCTGTCTCCGATGTCTCTTCGATTTAGAAGTTTTTCATTTACGGTTTTACTGTTCAGCTAGAGATACCTGATGAAGAGCATTGCCCGAAACGTTGTATCTGCATGTATTTAACATCTCGTTGTCTTCGGTGTTTTTTTTATCCAATGCCAAGTTAATGAAGCGAGTAAAGCGAGAATTTTTAGATATTATTTGGACTGCAGTGATTAGTGCTTGATTTATGTCTCAGCAATGTATTTTACTTTTTAGCATTATATAGATCATATGGTGTGTTACATAAACAATTGATATTTTTTTAATAACATAAGCAACATATTTTCCTTTGCAGTAAAACGTATATTGAGAGAAAGGTATAATTTGTTTTTAAAAAGGAGAAATATTTTATATACGATTTTTTTTTCTTACAAATAGTGCCACCTCACTGGGTTGTGGAACCAAGCAACTGTTCAGTAATCCAAGGGCGGTCTGTTAATATCGATTGTGTTGTCCAAGGATATCCTCCGCCTCGGATAACTTGGATGAAAGCCTCAGGTATTCTTCTAAGGTCAAATGTTTTATAACGAAACTTAAGCTACCATATATAATGGACTAAAAGCGTTAATTTCATTATTGACTAGTGCATTATTTCCTGAGCACAAAACAATTTATCTAACTATTTACTTAGTCCACTTGATTAATCATAGTACTTCTAGGTATCTTGGCTCCTGCTAATGTAATGACATTCACTGTGAACTGTACAGTTAATCAGTGGTTCGAGAAAATATTTTCGTTTTGATTTATTTTTCGTAACAGCCGTTTTATCTATTTATCTGTTTGTGCATTTCAGATCCGCCATAAAACACCATGAAGCAAAAACAGCAGGGCATAATATAAAAGGCTATATACATACATACTTATTTCAAAAAATTATTACATTTATAAAAAATGAGTATTTTACTTAGCTACAAAGCTATTGGCAGGTTTAAATGAAACTTAAAATGCAAAGTTTATTAGTATTCTATCTTTATCTATAATCTGAAATTTCGTCTTATGTTGAACGTTTTCTTTTCGGATATTCAGGAAAAGCCACAAAAGGGTTATTGGCGCCTAGCCGTTCCTAATTTTAAACTAATAGACTAAAAGAAGAACGCTAATCAGTAACATCTATCAACTCTTGGACTACTCTAGGCGAAAAGTGGGATGTGACCGTCACTCTTATAAAGTATGGCTCGGGTTTGTCCTGTGATAAGACTATGGATATCGGACCTGACCAGCCGAGTTCGAATCCGTTCGATACCACAGAATATTATCCGCACTTTAAGCTATGGGTGCGTTATAAGAGTGAGAGTCAAAAACTTAACGTGAAAGGTGGATGGTAGAGTGCTGCCGATTGTCTGCCTTCCCTCTGGTAACTTGTTCAAAATCAGGATACCCACTTGAATACCCACGCGAATTTGTGATAACAGGACGCGAATCATGAATCATCCGATCTGTAATTCAGTAGATCACGCTCGGCCCTATCGACAATGTGAACATGAAGTTACTCTCTAGTAAACATCTTGTAATTTGCATCTTTCGCTACTTGTCAATTCTTTTTTTTTGTTTCTTTTTTCGTTATGAACAATTTCCAATTCTCCTTCTATCATTTGTTATGTCATTAACTCTAAATATTTTGAAACATAAATCCAAGAATATAAATAACTTTTTTTTCTGAAACTTCACAGAAGAGAAACAAGAACTGTATATCATATCGTGATCCTCCTTATCTTTGGCTGATCAATTTATCATTTCCTGGATACGACCACATAGATTGCCATCAACGTATATGATATATAACTAAAAAATATATTCTACAAGAGTTTTTGATTCGAACATTAACGAAGATCTTCTATTATTCAGATAGAAAAAACAAACGAGAACAAGAAAAATACATGAATACAGAGAATCGAGCTTATTTCAAGGCGAGTTTATGAACATTCCTACCCTAATCCTTTTTGAAAATTCTGTAGTGAATGTATAACATCCTAATTTGCTTTTTTGGAATTTCTTTGTATTACATATGGATACATCACGTTATGTAATATGCAGCTACAAAATAAGAAGTACATTTGTAGACTGGCTGTGTTTTGTATATAAGTAAAATACAACTGAACAATTTCACTTATAAATAAAGCCATAATAAAGTGGAATCTACTATAAAAAGGGACAATAACAAGATCCAAATTGTTCATTATTGAACAAACGTGACCAAGTCTTTCATCTTGGCTTTATTTATAAATCGAAACCGATTTTCTGTAATAATGAATAATATATCAAACAAGAATCATTGTTTACGTTAACAATGTTTTTACAACACTGTGTAGTTTATTTTTGATTTACTATAATATCTGATATTTTGTTCATAAATAAAGGCAATAATAAATAACTACGTAGTTTTAAATAGTCAATCTACTACTTGTGCAATTTAGATTTACTATGGTTGAATTGAAGGCAGAAAAAAAAAACGATTCTCGTATGTAATTTCTCAGGAGTTTACAAACGGAATTATGTTGCTACGTGCCACTAAATAATATCACACAATTAAAATAAAATGCATGTATGCATTAACCCTAAACCAAATATACTGAGGAATTGGAATACAAAAGAAACATACTACCTCTGTTTTAATTGAACTGTGATTTGAATCACTATTGTTTGTTTGTTTGTTATTAAGCACTAAACTACACAATGGGCTATCTGTGCTCTGCCCACCACGTGTATTGAAACCCGGATTTTAGCGTTGTAAGTCCGCAGATATACCATTGTGCCATTGGCGGGTTAAATTAATATTACGGATGACTCATCAAAGAAGAGTATTATTGTTTATTAATATTTTTAAAGTAAGCGAATAGAAAGCTAAGCTTATAACTCTTTTCACAAAATGGAACGATTAAGAACAATATATTGCGGAAATATGTATCTAATGATCCATTTATTTATTTTTTCTTTACAGAATGCTCTAAGATAGCTTCTCTATAACCTTTTATTTTTATGTTTACGTTTAAGCATCTATTTAAAGTGTGCATACAAAATACGCTTTTTTTTAAACAGTTTTTTGCTTCTTTTGTGAAGCATTTTTGATACTTTTTGAGACGTACTCTATTTGTTTATCACCAGCCCTCCAGTAGCACAGCGGTATGTCTGCGGACTTACTACGCTAGAATCCGGGTTTCGATACCCGTGGTGGGCAGCGCACAGATAGCCCTTTGTGTAGCTTTGTGCTTAATTACAAACAAATTTGTTTATCACCAACTGATAAAGTAAACAAATGTACATGAATCGAATTAAATAAATAAAGAGCTCGATTATCATTTCTCAATGCTTTAGTCAGTTTATTTAACTAATCTTTATTGGACTCTCTGTTTTTCAAAATTTCGTTTTCTATAACATTTTAACAAATCATTGATAAAGTCCAGTTTCAAAATAACCAGGTGTCGCCCATATCCACCATTAAACTTGGATGAAATTTGAGATATTGCTCAGAAAATTTCCATTGCTAGAATACCATTAGTTTTATAGTTCTATACAATACTTTTCAAAGTTATTTCAGTATTGGTCATGGCGCTACCAAAAACTTTGTTCCTCTCTACAACAGTCAACATTACGTCATATTTGACAATGGTACTCTTATTATCAGAAATGTGGCCAAAGAAAACGAAGGGTTCTACTTGTGTCAAGCCAGTAACAACGTTGGTCCGGATCTTAGAAAACTCTTCACTCTGACCGTTCATGGTAATATTCTACATTTCCAGTAATGAAGCTGACATATATTTATTAATTAAACACAATAAATAATCTGTGAACATATTACTTAAAAAACACACTTAAAAATTAACACTGTAATTTTGACATATTCCATCTAAAAAATACAGCTTTTAAAATATCCAATACAAGTTTAGAAAATATGCAGATAATCAATTCACAAAGTTGGATAAATATTTTCTGTGCATGTGCTAACAAATTTTCTTTTGAAAACACGTTCATTCTATGCTCCTAAATTTCTAAGGTGTTCACGGTATATTCGCAAAGTACGTTACATTATACATTGTGGTATACATCAGTACAATAAAATTATATCAGATACACATCTGATTCCAATGACATGTTCGCTCTTTCTTAAGCCAAATGTACATATTTTGAGCTACTTTCAAAAATGTACTAAATTAAGAACTTCTGACGTACAATGAAATTTTGACTGTATTCTATTTGTATTTCTTCATTTTACTACATTTCCATAAAAAAACGAACAGTTAAGACCAGTGCGACATGTGTTGAAAATCATCATATTTGTTAATAAATTCAGATAAAACATTTGTTTGTAAAACAAAAAAAGCAACTGCCCCATCAAAGAAACATAATCTATAAAACTCTGCTTTTGAGAGAAAGTAGGGTGGGAATAATATTAGACCTTATGTTCGTTGACATGCGTTTGTAGGTAAGCAAAGTGTAACGAGCATTCTAATCTCCAAAATACCTCTTCAGCTTAGTAACTAAAGACATACACCGAATATTTATACATCTATATCTGTACAAATAAGGCTGAACATAAATTTAAATACGTATATATACAAGCTGATACATTTGAGATTAGAACATGTCGGTCAATCCTTAGTGAGCACATCATCAACTCATCCTGGGGCTTTTGTGGGATTCTGGGTGATTTTTTTTTTACATGAGGACAAAAATCATTAGGACTGGAAAATCAAATAATGTTGCCATTAAAAAATGAAACATTATCCTATTCTAGTTTTTATTCGACACTCTTCAAGAAGTTCTTTACTCAAATATCTTAAATCAACAGTTCAATGCATAACAGTTTTTTTGCACAAACGCATATGAGAATGTAAAAAGCAATTAACTGCTACATTAATTCATATAAGAAACAATTAACAACAGTAATTACAGAGGTGAGTTATGTAAAGAAACATTCTCCAGTTCATGCAATAGAAAAATTAACTCGTGCGCTTCAAGTACAAGGGTAGATATTTTCAAGATATCCATACCATAGAAACACCATATAATTCTTTGTATTTATGGTTGGGAAGTTTCTAAGGCCATGAAACTGGTTTCTTTTCACTCTTTTTTCTTCTTTATACCCAAAATATAGAACATAAGCTATTTTCAATAGAGTTCTAACATACTTCTTGATTTGTATCGAGAATCCCAAGTACTTAAAATGTATACATATAACGCTAACCATCAATGATATGTTTCATTTCTAGATATCTTACCTCTCAGAAAGGATCTAACATGTTCGAAAGAAGGTTAACATTAGGTGCACATGAGTATCTTTAAATAAGATTTATAGATTATTGATGTTTCAATATAAATTAATGTCATCATGAAATGCAGCTGGTAAAATCTCAAGCTGAAAGACTGACATAATGTGTAGCTAGAGTTTAAATGAAACAGGAAAATAACAGTGAAAGAAAAATATATTTAGAATTTAATGTTGAGTGTTAGCAACTACTTTTACTGGGAACTGTATATCGTGATTCTAATCGTGTGATGCAATGGTATAGCTGTTATACCCAGGGTATTTATTATTCTGAGAAACTAATACAGACATGTAATAAACACAAGCAATCTAAAAAGAGGCAACTTTTACTCATTAGATGTCCCTGTTTGTTTGTGTAAATGTTTGTTTGTTTCACAAATCTCCAATAAATATCATACATAAATGCTTATCATACATATACTTATACGTAACACTTGGATGAGTATAACACTTTGATAAGCGTATTTCATTATAATATGAATTAATGACAGCAGTAATATACGATTATGGACTTCAGTTATTTGTTGTTGTTGTTTTTTTCTTTCATACCTCAAGTGCCTCCTAGTGTTCATGTTCAACACCAAGTTCATACAGCAGTACTGAACGATATTTTGGAGATCCATTGTGAGGCTAATGGAGAATTACCCATAAAAATTAAATGGTTTAAAGACAATCATGATGTCACAAGCTCGTCTGATGGAAGGTAAGAAGTGCAGTAAAAAAATCCGCTAAATGGTAGGCCTACCTATCAACGCACACACCTATATATTACATTATTAAGTTGCCATAACATTTATTCATATCTCCCCCTCCCCCCAAAAAAAACTTGTTAGAAAAACATTCTTGAAAGACGTTAATCAATTTATTTAATATATTAAAATACACTCTCTCCATCCTATTATGTTTAACCTTAATTTTTTGTAACTTTCTCATCTTCCCCATCTATCAAAATATTATCGATGAATAATAAGTTTTCTCAGTTGAGTTATTGCACCAGACACAAACAAACGTGTTAGAAAAGAAAGAAAACGACAAATCCATAACCGTCCATTGTTGGAGATAAACGTCAAAAAGTACAAATAGAAATCACTGTAATTTATAAACGAGTACTCATTTTATAATTACGCTAGTAGGCATTTAACATTTGTTAAGAGGAATTATTTTAGTTGAAATAATACACATATAACTTACTATAATTTAGGTACGTATTAGAAGAGAGAACAAAGCATTCGATGGTTGAATCGGTGCTCTACATATCCAAGGTGATTAAAAACGATACCGGATTATTCTCTTGTCTCGCTTTTAATGCGTATGGGAATTCAACAGGAAAATACCAAGTTATAGTACAAGGTGAGTTAGCTTTGTCCATTCTTGTTTCTACTTTCAATCATTAAACAACAGTTTTTAATGATTTAACGAATCAGGGACTACTTTTGTGTATTTTGAATTATTTTGAATTTTCTTGCTTAACAGGTGTTAAAGAAGGATGTCGTAGTGAAAATCAATAATAATGATACAGTTACTCTTAACTTTTAGATTAATAAATATAAATAAATTCTCGAAATAAATAAAGAGTTACTTTATGTTTTGTTTTAGTAGTAATTTCTCTTATAAATTGACACCATATTCAATAATACTTTGGACTTTAAAACGCGTAACCCGGCCATACGACAGTTCTTTAAGAGCCAACTTGTTGAAGTATACTGAACTTTAAATTATCATCTTTTTTCAAGTCCATTTGGGCATTTTAATCATGCATTAAATCAGATTTACTATGTCAGTAAAGTGTGAGTATCAAATCTAGTGTATTTCTATCTGTCGAATTTGAGAAATTTTAGGTTTTCGTGCTTTTTTTTTACAATGCCAGAAAGTTTCTATTTATAAAAGAAATGAAGTTATAGTTTAGTTAAAAATGTGAAAAATCATGAACGGCGATGGTCTTTTGATTAACGGTTACACCCCATTATCTCCTTCCTACAATGTTTTTGAAACCCCTTTTTTAAAGTTTAAAATATTTTAAACAAATGTCATTATTTAGGTGTAACACCAACTCTTTTAGGTTACGACCTTTGATTAAATAGTACAAAAATACAGTTAGCTCTTAAATGCTCCTGGTTTTTATCTGAATCAGTAAATCGGAACATTGATAAAATATACGCACCAATCATTTTCTTATAGGATGCTGCAAACGAGTCTTTTTCTCTTAATTCCTGAATTTATCTGCATTTCTGGAGTACAATGTCCAAAAATAAAAAAATAAAATCCTTTACATTTAAAGCTCCACGTTTACAAAACTCTTTTGATATTTTAAACTCATTTAATAAACTCATTTCATAACGTTGTTGTTGATGAGTTTACAAACGCTTTAAATCTTTTTAACTCATTTCATAACGTTGTTGTTGTTGAGTTTACAAAACGCTTTTGATCTTTTTAACCCCCTTTCATAACTTTGTTGGTGACATCTTTTTTTACAGGGTTTTACAGTGTTACACGAACGTGTTGTGATTTTTACAGAAATTTGATTTGATTGAAAATTGTGGTTTCTTTGCCACACAGCATGTCCTTTATGATTCACCCGAAAGAGTTGCAAAGTATCTTTCTGAAAACTATGTTTTAGGATTTTATGGTAGCGCCCACTAAATCTAGCCTGGGTACGAAATAAAGTATCCAAATCAGTCTCTAGTCACAAAGAACCAAACTTTATCCAACTACGCCTATTGCAAGAATACACAAATTATTGAAATTAACTCGAAATTATAGGAATATAAGAAATTTATGAATTTACTTAGATTCAAGTTTATTTGTTTATTGTGGTTTTATTACGTTTTGTTTGATTAGTGTTTATTTAGCTAAATATACTTATCGTAGTATATTTCAAATAATAACTTAGGTATATTAATAATAAAAATAACTGAATTGTGTTTTAATCAACGCTTTCAGTATCTACTGAGTAATACATATAGCTCCAAGTGACTTAAAAATTTAGTCAACTAGAGAGTTACTTAGTAGAGCGCATACCTCCGTCACGTAGCTTTGATCATATTCAGCCCTCAAACAATACGAAAATGTATCCGTATGTCCCTAGTTATTAACGGATACAGACCATTTTTGGCAGGACAACGAGGAATAATATTCTGCATATGTCCACCAAGTGTCATCAAAATCCGATCATTTTTACTGAGTCATAGAGCAAAAATAGCGTGAAAAAACGGTCTCCATGTTAACATATAGGGAATTTTTGGATTTTCGTAACCTTGCTGTGACCTTGACACTCCAAAAGCTAATCACGTTTATATTAGATCATATTTCAAACGTATACCAGCTTTAATCCAAATCTTTCCAGCCATTTTCGAGAAATCTTTCGTACAAACACACACACACACAGGGGTGAAACCTAAATATTGAATGTGCGAACAAAAACTCCATTAAGTTATTATTTATCGTATCTAATACGTTTCTAATATATCATTTTAAAGAAATTATCATATACTAAGTACAGCAAAATGACTAGTTTTAATGCTTTAAGTAATTAGCTTCGAGTAGTTTAATAATAAAATAGCGTCTTTACAGAAATGCCGACTGCGCCATCTGATTTACGAATTGAGAGCAAGACTGGAAGAAGTTTGAGTGTAACTTGGAAAAAACCGTTTGATGGACATAGTGCCATCACTCGATACAGCGTACAGTATAGTTCAGAAAAGTCTGGTAAGATAGTTTTATTTTTCATAATAAAAATACATAAACTCGCTCAATTAACAGGAAGTATGAAAAAATATCATGGTCTACCATGGTCTTCAAGTAAGTGCTGACAGACTTTATATCTCTTCCTTTGCCCAATCTTCGCTTTTTGTGTCTAGGCTGTGATGCCAGATGTTTATCCTTCATAAGAATACCGAAACCCAGTGATGACGAATTATCTCATTGGTATCTGTATAGCACCTATCCATCAATAAATGTATTCCAGAGTATCTTTTAGGTAGTCCCCTGCTTGGATGTTGTATATTGAATCATTAGAATGTCACTGTTAGATATTTAATATTTAATGATTACTTAGTTTTCATAAAAAGAGTGTTAAAAGTTAATTGTTATAAAAGCGTTAGTTGTGACAAGTTTAATTACGTAACTTGGTACGAGTCGTTCGGATTGTATGCAGTTTAATTGTTGTACTATAGGCTTTAGTAATATTGTTGACGTCATTTTATTCGAAGCTTTCAAATTCTTCTCGTTATGTGCAATATTGTTGCTACTAGAGGGCTAGATATTTCTAGCTTTTTCTGTCGCGTGTTATAAATACGTGCAAATACAGAGAGGAAGTCAAGAAAGCAAGTTAAGTGAGAAAGAATTAGACAGATCTAGACTTTTTGATTGGCAGTTTAGCCGTGACGGGTGATTTCTAAAGATGTTAGTAAAGAAGTTAAGTCAGAAAATGTTAAGTTAGTGAGAGTGAAATTATACTGAGTGATTGTTAGTTAGTCATAACGGGTAAAAGTTAAAGTGAGTTTCACAGTAGTATTGCAAGGAGAATAATTTGTATTGTCAAAGGGTATTTTAAAGTAATTGAATCCACCTGTGTACACTTTGACGAAAAGGAAACAATTACTTAAAGTTCTGAATACAGCTGTGGTAAACCACAGACTGTTCAGTAAGAAACAGAGTAGAGAAAAATAGTTTGTCTTCTCAGTTGAGTTCTAAAGTAACTGAATTAGCCTATGTGGACTTTTGACAAGAAAATAGAATTATTTAAAGCCTTAAATACAACTGTGATAAACATTAGTGTGACGAAGTTTTGTACGTATGTTTGACATATTTTATATATGTATTATTTTAAAACAAGTAGATTGTGTGCTGTCCATTTATTTTTGAAATTTATTGCCAACACGTCACAGATATCTATTGTAAAAGAATCCACAGCCCATATTCAAAACTTGACATTTGGCGAAGCAGCCAGGATTATACAGTGATAAACGGCGGTAGAAGAAGACGTGAACGACAGCGAAAGTAGGTCTATATACGTACAACTGTAGTGGTGGCGAAAATAATGTAAATACTACAATCACACAATATAATTTTGTCAACAGATTTTGATAAGTGTATTGAAAGAGGTGAGCGTCTTGGGCTAAAATATAGTGAACTACGAGAGTTTGCTAAACAATAACAAGAACTAGAGAGAAAATAGTGTCAAAAGAGAGGTGGAGAGACTGGAAATATATATAGAGAGATAATAAGAGCCTAGATTGTGAAAGAAGCAAAGGATAGAGAGAGGAGAGATTGGAAATAGAAAGAATAAGAGCACAAATTATGGTTGCCAAGCTCACTCAAAAGAAAGAGGAAAGATCCAGGAATGACAATGGGATCAGGGCCAGCGGACTAAGCTGCCCAAATTTGTTGAACAGAGATACGATATAGATGCTTTCCTGGAGAGATATGAAAGATTCACCAAAAGTCAGAATGCGACAAAGGCAATTGGACAGTCTGTTTCAACAAGCTTATCACTGGAAAAGTCCTACAAGTACATTCAGGCATGAAGTCAGAAGATGCCATAGACTATGGCAAGTTAAAAGTGGCCATAAGCAAACGCTATGAACTTACCAAAGGAGGTTTTTGTTGGAAGTTCAGAGAAGTCAAACCTGACACTGGAGAAACTGTATTTCAGTTTGTGGCACGTCTACAGTGATACCTTACAAGATGGACTTGCATGGTTAAGTGTGAAAATAGTTTTGACGGACTGGCAGATCTACTAATATGTGAACATTTCTTGATTACGTGCTCAATTGACATGCCACTGTTTTTAGAGGAGAGAGAACCAAAAGATGTAGATGAGATGATCAAGCTGGCAAAACATTATATGGAAGCCCGTGGAGGGAGTTTAACTGGCAAGTCCAAGAATATCCAGTTAAAGTCGAAACCAGTGGTAGCTGACCAGAAGCAGGATTCTACCAAAGGTAACGGGAGGTTAACAGACAAATGTGAGAAGAGATGCAATATGTGTTATAAAATAGAGCCTGTTGCTAAGGTGTGCAAGTCCATCACCAAGAAGCAACAGCAGAAATCTCAACATAAAGCAGCTGGAACTACTTATAAAGATAGTGCTGGTAAGAAACAAGAAAAGAGTGACTGTCACCATGGATAGCCAGAAGAAACAGAATGAAGAAAACATGTCAGATTCACTACAAGAAGGAAGTGTTATTTCCATGATTAATCAATACACGACTAATGGTCATTTCAAGTTAGCAAATGGATCAAGAGTGCCAGTAGTGATTGGAGCATGTGACAAACATAGAGAGCTGACACTAAATCACAATATGCCAGCAGGTGAAGGCTATATCAAGGACAAGAAAGTAAAAGTCCTACGAGACACTGGGTGCACTAGTGCAGCAGTGAGAACCAGTCTAGTATCTGTGAGCAGATGATGGGCAAGGTGTACTAATTGATAGGACTGTGAGAAACTTTCCCATATCAAAAATAAAGGTGGATGTTCCATACTAAATGGGAAACCTTGAAGACCACGTGTATGAAGACACCAATATGTGACTTGGTGATTGGAAATATACCAGGTTGTATAAATTTGGAGGAAATAGATAGAGAGAAGACTGATGAGGCATCTATAGTCACTACAAGAGTTCAAGGGTAGGAGAGCAAGCAAGACATCAAGCTGTTGCAAGTATCAAAAAGTGACATCCCGAATGTAGGTCTACAGTAACATCAAAGTCCACACAGGTGGGTTGATTTACTTTAAACACACTTTAACAAAACAAATTATGCACCTTTATCTTGGGAAGATAAACACATCAAAGGAACGCAGAAGTGGTTTTTGCTAAAAAGGCACAGGGTCGACATTTCAAGGTCAGACAGAAGGTTTTAGTTCTGCTACCTACAGACAACAACAAACTCATCCTGCAGTGGAAAGGACCTTTTGAGGTGCAGGAAATTATCAACATAATGTACTGTAGAGTGAAAGTAGATGGGGAGCCCAAGATCTACCATGCCAAGCTGTTAAATAGGTACTTCTAGAGGGAAAAAAACCTAATGGGTGCAACTATTTAGGCACAGATAGACATGACAGGTGTAGCTGTCATAAAAGTAGAATCTAAAGACAGTGATCTTGTTACAGAAGATAAAGACCTACTAGGCCTAAGAACATTGTGTGGAGATGAGACACACAAAAACGTCAACATCAGTAAAGAACTGACTGGCAAGTAAAAAAAAGACGTACAAAATATACTGTGCCAGTATACAGATAGATTAGGCATTAGGTATATTGTTGACATTTATTGTCAACAAGTCACAGATATGTACTGTAAAAGAATCCCAGCCCATAAGTAAACACCTGACAGTCTCAATTAAAATAGGCAGTGACATGATGATGAAATACATGGTCTTTACACTACAAAACCTTGGGAAAGGATTTTGCATGGAAACATTGTTGATGCTGTGCAGTGTTGCTGAGGCTTGTGAGGTGTAATAGGGTCGTGATGTGGGTGGCTGAAGTACATACACTGACCAGTCTTAAACACGTTCTTTGTATCTTTTCAATCTCATTTAGCTGCAGAACACTCATACTTATCATTAATGGAGTAGATAATACTTTTGAAGAGCATAAGTATGTGACATTCCTCAGCTCTCTTTCCCACTGTAATTTTTCTTGTATTGATGCCTTTGATAGTTCTGGTTATCATATGTTAATGTGGCTGGCGATGTTGAGCTGCCTGTCAGAGATTACTCCAGGTACTTCAACATTTCTTTGAGAGGGATGGTAGGATGGTAGTGACTTCAAAGAATTAAGGGTGGTGACGATTTGTTCTCATCAGCATGTCTGCTAAACAAATAAAAGGTGAAATGGGGCAGCAACTGCCTAGTAAGGCATAACATGCCATGTTGACTGGACATGTCATAGACTGGGATGATAACAGTTATCAACTGAGACAAAGTCTGGAAAAGAAGAAAAATTAAAGAATCATTGCCAAATAGAGACCCAGGCCTGGTAACCATCAGCTTGTGGCTACCATTGGCCAAATCATCACTCGCTCTACTAACCAAACACGTCACATCCATATCAATCTCCCCAAAGAATATAAAAGCTCCTGAAAAACCAGTGCAACTGATTTGAAGACGAAAAAAAGAAGCCTTAGAAATGGCATCCTTTTCTATGTGTAGTACTTTTGTAAATTAATCCTCCAAGACTTTCTCCACAAGTGATATGCTATAGTAGGCAATTGCTACCCATTTCACGTTTGTTTATTCATCATGAAGACTGAGTAGCTCATCTATAAGAGCATTATGATTGTTAGTGATGGCAGAACATGGCTTTGGCAGGATTAATGACCATTCCTGTGTCATGGTATCATATGGTCACCTTGTTTGTGATTTTAGCTTTGTTCATCAGAATGTTATCATCAAAGATAATCACATGACATCTGGTTGTGCTGTTAAGACAGACTAGATCCATCGTGTAGGTGTTGAAGAGGACTGGCAAGAGCGGCAATCCTTGAGTCATACTTGTATTGATGGCAATCCAGTCTGGTTGCTAACTTCTACATTTGATAATAGATAGTGGTAGATAGTGCAGTAACAATACATTTTACTTATATTACACTGATGCCCATTTTGAACATTTTTGTAGCAAGAATGTACAACTGATTCTATTGTAGGCATCTATCTTCCAGATCTAAAGTTATCACCAAGGTGTTCTGATCAGATTCACAGCCTACCCATGTATTAACTGCAAGTTTAGCAGCATTGATCTAGGTTTCTCATCCACCACAATATCCACCTAAGGATGAGATTATCAGTAGTTCCATCTGATAAACAAGTATTCTCACTGCAGCCTTCTCTTGAACCTGGCCCATGATGTTTTGTTGGATGAAAATTTGATGAGAATGGTCTTTTAATAGCCTGTGTAATAATTTGATAAATACATCAATCCATATCTCAAGAATTATACTAAGTTGCATAGATATATTAACACGCTGACACCCAGTTCAACAGGATGGCTTCCGTAAGCTTTTTAATGGTGGAGAATTCTTATGTATTTATGACTATATGTATCACATACAAGTGAAAGATGGCTTCCATATCTGCTTGTAGCTGTAGCTTTGGTAGGGACTGCTGTAGCTCGAGCCTTTCTTAAGTGTGACCATTGTCACATTGATTAATATATATATATATTAATTGCTATTATTGCTATATATTTTGTTCTTGTGCCAGCCATAAGTTTTTTTAAAGAGCCAGAATAAATTGCTTGTGAGGTTATAATACATATCATTTCATGTTTCATACCATGAAAGCTGAAACCGTATACAGAGCACAGGATCTATTCTGTTCAATCCTTGTTTCCTCTGCTTAGGCTGGCTCATGCCTTATGTGTATGAACTCAACCTAGGATTGACTTTGTACTTTACAGGCTTTATGAGTATCTCTGTCTTACCAGTATGGGTTTTCCTTTTGCAAGAAGTTTTGCTTTGACTTTGCTAAATGGTGGAGAGATCATTGAGAGTAAGAGTGCTACCAGATATCTTGACATCCTTGTATGGTGTTTTAGACTGTTGTATACTCCTGTATTTTCCATCTTCATATGCACCTCGCACAGGATCACAGTTGAAATTATGTCCACTATGCTAAGTAGAAATGACACTTAAATTTGGGTTAGTAAAAGGAACGTATAGACAGAAGTTTTTGTCACTTTGGTGTTCATTACTGGTAGTTAACCTAAATTTAGAAACATAAGATTGGTGGCTATACTGTAGAGCTATTTGGCATTGAAGTCTCATACTGCTAGATCAATAGGAATGTTGTCAGACAGATCAAATAGGAGAATCCAATCTTCAGTATAATGTGCTGTGCTATCTTTTATGTAGACTTTGGTGTTTGAGATATGTATAAGTAACTTCGGGTGAGATATCTGGATGGTTTGTAACTTCAAATGGTAATTGTTTCACTGAGAGCTGTCATAATGCTCATAGTAGATTTGGCTTTTGTGCCAAATTGTGATTGTCAACCCTGCTCTGGGTTAGCATGTGATATGAAGTATTAAATTAAAGCCAGTGAGAGTTTAGTGTCTTGAAAGAGGTTGATTACATAACATTCACAGAGCTTCTCAAGGCAGTATCTACTTTCTCTGGTCCTCCCTGATATTGAAGTAACCTATCATAATGGAAGACTGGCAGAGTTTGGTGAGCATTTTAATGCATATATCATTTATCTACTCAGTGTTTAGGCTTTGGTTCCCTGTTTTCTCCTCCTCCACTGTGCATAATGCCTTAATGTAATATCGTTTATATGCAACACATTAATTACTCGCTGTTCCAAGCTCCAAGGTAGGTGAATGACAACAAATCAGGTCAGTATTCTATTAGAATAGAGCTGTCATTCTTGAGGTGGGTAAACACTGGCAAATAGGGTATACAGATTCCCTACTACTACTAAAAACCCTCTCTGGCACAGGACCTGCTTATAACTAGGTACCTCATCTTTTCCACCCTCTAGCAGAGCGTTGAAAAGTGTCCTCTTTGCTTGATGACCTTTCAACCTACCCAATATGTATGGCATCATCTTGCATAGCTTGCTGAATTAAGTTTTGTTGACCACTGATCCCAAGGTCCAGAAATTCATACACCTAAGTGTTGCACACAGCCAGGCTTCACGTAGCTTAACACTGGAAGTGATCTTACCAATATATTATTCCCTGTCTCAGACTATAGGCCTTGTTCATGTACTAAACCTAAACTGAAACTAACTATAAAATTAGCTCTACAGTTAATACAATGTAAGTACTGTACTTGAATGTACCATTAAACACACAGTTTTAATTAAACACAACATAACCAGCACATAGTAAAATTGTACTCAGGTCAATAATTGACACATGCTTAACATCATATGTAACTGCACAAAACACGAGCTAACTCTGTTCTTGAAATGAAACATGATAGCTATACTAAACCTATAAGTTTGGTAGATAAATTGTATTTTAGCAACCATAGATTCTCGGAATCAATGTGCATGCAAAATAAGTCTAATCATGTGTCTAATTAGTCTGCTTATGGCTGACAAGTCCAATTCAAGAGCGTCATAGTTTGTTACAAATTTCACAAATCCGTGTGTTGTCTGTTTCCATCTTTCTCGCTTTATTTCCATCCACTGGATCAAAGCTGCTTCATGTTGAGCTGCACCCAGTGCCAGATGTTCCTTTCAGATTGTGGGGAAATTTGTGAGCTCCTCCCATCTTTCTACGTTGATGTTAAACGATTTCATGTCATTTTTGCACATGTCTTCCTCGAGCTGTCTCGAATCTCGCCGAACAAAATATTTTGGGGGCTATGGTCTTCTCTCAATCCCCTAATATGTCTGAGCCATATTAACATCCTCTTCTCGATATTGGTTTTAAAGTGTGTCAGTCCTGCTTGTTTTAACACTCTTATATTTGGTGTATTGCCTTCCATCTTTATTTTCACGATTTTACTCATAAATCTCGAGTAAATGCGTTTCAGTCTCTTGATGTGCCTAGCATATGTTGTCCACATTTCAGAACCATAAAGCAAGGATGAGCAAACACGTACGACGACAATATCCCATGGTGCAATTTAATATATATATATATATATATATATATAAACAGACAATAAGCACACATCCCTAAGAATACAACTCGACCATCTGCACATAGCGCAATTTAATAAATAATTTCGATTAGTAAATAAAGGTATAGCTCGGTAAATATAACAGAATACTAAAGGGAAGATGTGATTACACGAGACTTATGTGTAGAGATTTTAAATTTAATTTCGAAAGGGAATATTCAGAAAAGAAAATTTTACCTATTTATTTTCTTACTTCAGTCCTACTTGTACTCCATCAACTAAAACTTCTCAATATTCAATAACTTGTAATAGAGCAATAAGACAAAGTATTGAGTTGACTGAAATGGCCGCTCATTTCACAGTCATTTGAATATGAATACTATGCCTAAATTATATATTATAGAAAGACAAATTATTAATCTTAGGAATGTTGTAAAAACAAATTGATTAGAAAACATCACAGATATATAACACTTTTTATCGTTGTTATTTTTTAAAACAAAACATAATGCTTTTAAATGCTTTAGGCACATGGCAAGAGATGAGTGTTCCTTCTTCTCAGACATCTGTAGTCATACAAGGTCTTGTTCCCGCTACCTTCTACAACTTACGTATTTTTGCTGAAAACGCCATTGGAAAAAGTAACTACAGCGCTATCTACAAAATAGAGACCGAAGAAGAAGGTTTTTAATTTTTCTTCGCTGTTTTATTTTTATTATTTTCAATGTATTATATATTATATATATTTTTAAATCAGATAGTTTTCACTTAATTAACTTCATTGCGGTTTTTTCTAAAGAAATAACAGTTTAATCGAATGTTGCAATCTCTGGTGTATTCGCTAGTAATGTAAGAATTACACATTTAATCGAGACATATATGTGCTTGTAGAATACTTTTATTTCTTTCATTTGTGTTACATTTGATTAATATCTATAATGTATTCAATACATTTATAATGTTGCTTCATTATGATCGTGACATAATGTGATGCCATTCTTGTACTTTTCTACAAGAACTATCATAAATGAACATTAAAATATGTATATTCTTAAATATGTTTCATTAAAAGTTTCAGTTGAAACTATAGAATCTTAGAAATGACTACTTTTACAATCACTCCATTTTTGCACCAGCTCCTGGAGGTCCACCTTTGGAGGTTCAAGCCACAGCAACAGGACCGAATTCTATTAAAGTCTCGTGGAAGGTAGTATCTTTATATCAGTTTAGCAGTCTTCTATCGACGCAACTTAACGCTCTGTTACCCAATACTAAGAATTTCTTATGTATTTATCACTCATTATTCATATATATATATTCAAAAATCTTGTTGTTTGTTTTTCTTTTCATAACAGTAAGGTCACTCATAGGACGATGGTAAATGTATGGAATATTAACATTTATATGTCATTTTCAGGTGATTTTATATGAGTAGTCTGATTGAGAAAGTACGTAGTCAGAGCAATACATTTTAAAAATTGTCATGGTACATTTAGTTACATGTTGTCATTTTATGCTGTTTTTAAATTATGTTAATAAATTAAACGTTTGTCTCTTTTGCTCCTTCGTTTGAAAAATTAAACTCGTATAGTTTTGAGCAACTCAAAGGATAAACTTAAATGTTGTATGATTTAGAGCTACTGAGACACATCAGTAATAATGGTGGAAGAGAACCAAGAATGTTCATTACCTTAATGTTAATACAGATCAAAAGTATTTCTGTAAAGATTAATAAATAATCCTTTTAGTAAAATTAACAAGAAAAAATTTCAAGGCATTTTTTTTTAAACGTAAAGCTAGAAAAGTTTAATTTAATTTATAAATTTATCATAGTAAAGTTATGTTATATTTTTTAGTACAGGAAAGTTTGTTCTGTTATTTATCAACAATCTACATGACGGGCTATATACGTTATGTCCACCACTAGAATAGAGCTCCAAATTTTAGCGTTTTAAGCCCTCGTGCCTACTACTGAGCCACTGAGGGCGATGCAAAAGGAAGTAAATCGATAACTGAAAATTCTTTAGTCTAACAGGAAGACAGAGCTAGACTTATTAATTGCTACTTTGTGAGAGGCTTTATAGTGTTGTATTATTTACTTCGAGGAGTATTTTACCAACAAATACAAATTAATATTTGAACTACATAGTACAAGTAGTATGCCATTTATTTCAAACACGTTGTCTTTAAAAATCCAGCTAGTTTACAATTTCTTGGTCAGTTAGTTCTAAACCCTATTTCAATATATGCTGGATAGATAGCGATCAGCTAAGAAAAGATAAATTCAGTATATAAGATTTCCAGTGGAATAAATCTAAGGCAAGAGTGAAAGTGAGCAGATATATGAATAATTTTGTAAAGTAGAAGAATTTGTCTGTCTTTTTCAGTTAAGCACAAAACTACACAATGGGCTATCTCTGTTGTGCCAATCGCGAGTTTTTAGCTTTATTTGCCTTCAGACATACCACTGTGCCACTGGGTTGCAAAGTAGCAGAAACAAATATATTTGCAAAAAATAATACATAAGTAAGTAGAAATTTTAAAAAGTCAAGCAAACTGTTCTTATAAATTACAGGGAATGGAAAAAAAGGATTATTAAAAGAAAAGAAGGTAAAATAAAAACAGAAACCAAAAAAGAAAGCAATTATTAAACATTTAACATTTAACTAAATAAAACCTACTCTCCAAATTATATGGGACAAATAGTCGTTTATAATGCGCGCAAATCACAAGCAGCTGAAACAGACAAGAGAGGGATTCAAGCTGAAACAGAAGAAAACGTGACTATAATTCAGTAAGATGAGAAGCATTCTTTCTGGGCCTGGCATGGCTAGGTGGTTAGGGCACTCGACTCGCAATCTGAGAGTCGCGAGTTCGAATCCCCGTCCCACCAAACATGCTCGCTCTTTCAGCCGTGAGGGTGTTGTAATGTGACGGTCAATCCGTTAGTAAAAGAGTAGCCCAAGAGTTTGAGGTAGGTGGTGATGACTAGCTGTCTTCCCTCCAGTTTTTCACTGCTAAATTAGGGACGGCTAGGGAAGAAAACCTTCGTGTAGCTTTGCACGAAAAAATTCAAAACAAACAAACAAACATTCGCACCTATCCTTGTGTTTATCCCCACCCTTCTCCCCGGTTTTATCTTATCTCTACATTTTCACTAGCCAAGGCAGTTTGTTTTATCAACTTTACAAGAAGAAAAGAACTGATGAATTTAACAATTTTAACAGTGAAGGGATTGATAGGAAATGTGAATAAATAGTGTTTTGGACAATATAACATTATTAAACTTTACTATTTCATCTCAAGCCTTTAGAACACAGCAGACTTACCTTTGCATGTTGAATCCATAACAACTGCCATTAGATAACAGTCTGAGATTACCAACATTTCAACTAATTTTTTATTCGCGTTTGATTAAAACTGTTAAGAGTTTGTTTGTAAATCGACCAAACATTACAATGTAATAATCAATGTATATACAACCACAACAGACACTTATACAGAGGTTTAAGTAAATTATATTAAAACGAAGAAACTTTGTAGAATGGACGGCAACTGCCTGTTGTAGAGGATGATGTTTCGAAACGTCAACCTTTACAACTGGCAGTTGCCGTCCATTTTACAAAGTTTCATCATGAATACTCTGCCTAAACAAGCTATCGAAGAATATATCAAAACGATTTTGAATATGCAAATCAGCAAGTTATTTGAAAATCACAGTTGACTGAAAGTCTCGATGAAACCCCATGTACCAGAACTACATTTTGACATTACTTGGCGTTTTGTAGCTAGTGCTATGCCATCGAAAATTGATCATTTCTAGGAAGATGTGTAAAAGCCTTTTTCTGTGCAAAATATTTTTACTTTCACATCGTAAAAATGTGTTACAGTCGGGTATTTTTAGTTTCCAAGATAGTTATATCCCGTTTACTTAACGGCTTTTAAAAATTAAGGAATAAGGATCAACTTGGGGTACAAAGACTACCCAGAAAGAGACCTGCGACAAGTCATGGTAAGCAAAGTGCAGTGTATTGTAATAGTTGAGACTCTACAAACATAAAGGTAAGTGGCAAAAGTCGCCCACGTGCTCCAAGCAACAGTGTACGACATAATTAAGAAGGATCTCCCCTGGAAAAGCAACACAAGCCAACTGTTACATATCTCAGGCTGCTGGAGAATGAAACGGAGATTATGCTATTTCTGTGCAATATGTCTGTTGAAATGGGCGCTTGGAAATAGTTATCATCATACACCAATTGGCTAATGGAAAGCATGCAGGGAGAGGTGGGGTGTTTTGATATGATAAGCTTTACAATCGAAAACACGTTATAAAGCTATTGTACAGATACATGACTCTTAGATAAAACATGGCCAGACTTAGTGACAAGGACTGTAACAACGTGGGAGGCTCCAGTATCATTTTAATGCAACGCACTTCTTTTTCTGAACTTTTTTTTCTAGGAAAGTAAAAAATGTTATTTGAAATGCACACCAATTCATGTCCTGTTTTTACAGAAACTTGTTACCATACTTTCGAGATAGAAAAATATTTCATTGTTCCCATTTTTGCTTTGCATACAGACTCGTGCTTTTGCCTGAAAATAATCTGTAAAAAAGCGAAGAATCTGGTATCAAATTATGTATTAAACACAGGATGTGAGTTGTGTAAAAGAAGCGTGGATTTGAGTGTATTACACTTCAACAAAAGTTTTTCAGAAATCTGGATGGAAGATGAAGCATCAAAGCTAAGAAAGCTGCTAAATGTTACGTGCAAAGTAGAATATGGATTCTCAGCATTCATTTATAAAATATTTAGAGAACTAGCCTTAGATTCAGAGTTATGAAGCAATACAATGTTCACGTATACATGCATAGTTGAATAAGAAACCTATATGCACAACACTAAAAGATGTTTTTAAAGCATCCAATATTGAAATGGACGGCCAAAGAATACAACTTACTCTAATGCAATTAACAGTAAGAAACATGAATCTATTTTGACGAAGTTACGATCCCTTTTTAAGCATAAGGATATGATATGTGAAGCCATACTAATATGAAACATATTTGGTAAAAATATACAGATAGTTTACGGACTTACAACGCTAAATTCCAGGGTTCGATTCCCGCGGAGGGTAGACTGCAAATAGCCTATTGTGTAACTTTGTGCAAACACCTTACACTTCTTTTCCTTCGTTTAACATATAGGGGTCTATTGTCGAAACTTTTATAATAATAAAGGACAGAGAAACAAGCATAAGGCTAGAAACACTGGTAGTGAAAGCATCTTTTAAATGTTTATCATTGCATTACGTGGTAAAGCATTACACATTTTCGTAGATCATTCATGTTAAGTTGTTTAGAGTGTCCCGTGTTTCTCTACCTTTTGTCTTATGCGTTTCATATTAGTATGGCTTCACATATCATATAGATCATTCATTTTAAGTTGTTTAAAGTTCCCGTGTTTCTGTACCTTCTGTCTCATACGTTTCATGTTACCCTTAAAACTTTTTCTACACGGTAGTAGTTAAAAATTATTGAGCCTTATTAATTCAACTATAGTATTTATATAAGCCTTATTATATGTATAATGTTAAAAGTCACATGTAATTATACAAACATAAAAGTATACAATTTATTTCTAAAGCTTCAATAAGAATATTTCACTTTTTGTTTGTTCCAAACATTTAATATTCTATTTTGTTATAACTTTAAAAAAAAGAAGAAAAAACCTGTATACTTCTGTAGTTGTTATAACTTCGCACCAATATTACAATTACAGCTTCTCTATCTTGCATCCTTTACATGTTTATACCAAAGCAAAACATTTAGTATAATGAATAAATTAAAGTAGACCTATTTATTGAGAAATTTCATTTACGTATTATAAAATACGTTTAAGTCCCAATTCCTTTTAAATATGAATTAAACTCTAGTTAGTATATCAAAGAGAGAATTAATATTATGATTTCTAAGTAATCCAGAGGGGTACAGTTTATCATCACCATCTAGCTTTACAGAATACACGTATATTATTAAAAGGCAGGTGTCGCTTAATAGTTAGCGTACCGGACTGTGGATCCTAGGCATCATGGTTCGCGTTCCGTTGTCACAAAATCGTACTTCTCACTTTGAGGCTGTGAGCTCGTTATACGAGTGACGGACAAATCTCACTATTCGATTAGAGAAGCCCAGTAATTTTCGGTAGGTTCTGTTTTCTAGCTATCTTCCTTCTAGTCTAGCGGTTCAAAATTATGAGGGAATGGTATGTGCAAATCTCTGAAAGAAAGAAACTTTTTACTGAGCTGAGGGTTGCCAACATTGAAAATAGAACAGGATCATACAATATTAAACAAATTAACTTATAACAATGATACTGTTATAATTTCTTCTTTTCTGTGTTTGTTTACATGTTCACAAGTTTCCATTAAAGAGACTTGTAATGTCTCTTTTCATCGTCTATTCTCATAGTATGTCTCACGGTCTAGAGAAGGAACAACGAATCAGGGTTGGTCTTTATAGTTTAAATTACGATATAAAAGATAATAATAAATATTTTATAAAAATACACACGATACAGGTTAAATTTAAAACAATGTAAATGATAACTTTTTAAAGTGAAAAGAAATCAAAATAGTTGTGATACAATTTAGAAAAATCAAACCTGTTGATTAAAAACTTTTTTAAGTTAATACCATTGTAAAAAAAGCGTTTTTGGTGTATAAAACCTGTGTTTATCCCTTGTTTTATGTGATTTTGCCATTGTTTGTCTTGATGCTGTATTCCAAAGTGTGAAGTCAAGATGGTAACCACTGTCTTGAAGTATTGTGACTATTTCAATGTTTTTTAAGTAAATATTAATGTTTATCTCATTAGGGATGTATTGGATTATACGTGGTCTAATGTTATTGGTCAATCGACTAGAGAATTATAAACCTATGCGTAAATTTGTAAGTGTATGAAAGTTTGGAAGTAGTAGGCTCATTATATCCATGAGAGACACATTGTTTCCCCTCGTTACTTACATGGTATCAATTACATCTTTGTTTATCCAAACTTATGAATGAACCTGGTATGTACAGATAAAAATGTTGTAGAATTGTGCACGCAGAACAAACACACAAAACTTTGTCATTGCGTTCTATTACAGCACGATGATAAAGCAGTTAAAATAGACACGTTACCTTTATGGTTGTGCGGAATGCTATCTACTGACGTTGATTTAATACGGATTTATCTGTTATTGTGTTGAACAATCATCACTATGGATCATCGTTTCACTCAGCTTGAGTATCAGTTGTTTATGCCATTTCTGTCTTTTATTAATTTTGCTTGTCTCCAGTCTCTCTACGTCTAATGTTATTATATCTGCCCATCTGTTGTTATCACATGTATCCTGAAGATTGCTACAGTTACTATATTTTCATTGGCTAAGATTAATTTGCGCTGTCTCCCACAAGAAGACTTCCCGTTTGCCATTCTTAGAGCCTCTAATTATTTATCTTTTAATCTTATATCCCACATCTTCTGAAAGTAACTTTCTGAAACAAGAGGTAAGTAGGGAAAAGACTGATGCTCTTGATTTACCATTGCCTGGGTTAAGCTATGTATGTCATATAAAACATAGCTCCAACAATAGATGTAATAGCAAAAAATGTGTATAAATATGTAAATAACTCACATAATCATTTGACACAACTCTGATTTCCTCTATAAGTTCATTTATATAATAAATTACGATTAAGGCTAAGTATGCTTGTATTAAGATGAAATATCGCATAGTCCACAGTCAGAACTATCTATGCCCGTCAGATGTAACATAGACTTCTGTCAAACCCTAAAAATACAGTTACATTTATGGATTAAAATCACGTGAATCGAATAGCGTCCAACGCTCATGTTCCATCGATTATACAATTAATACGATACCAATATTGTGTAAGTATCATAGCAAGATACATCAATAAATTTTGAATTTAGATGCTATTCTTTTACCTGAATTTCATGTTACAAAAATTATTTGCATATTCAAAATTGTATGTTTACTTATTTATAAATAATACTAGTTTTCTCTGTTTATCTTTAACTCTTTCACTGTCAGGTTTATACATAAACAACTTTAAAGAGCCAGGATTAAGGTTAGATACAAAACAAAAAAAACAAGTGTTTTATTATTTCATTACTTATCTGAGAATGGAATCTGGTGAATTTTGGGAAATCTGAAGGGTCTTACCTTTTCTTCATGATAATCCAAAAATTCAAACTCATATGGCCATGCTGTACTTGGATATATGTGCACATAGCAGTGAAAGAGCTAAATGACTTGTTTGTATACCTTTTCCTACTAGAGCAGCACACGTATTGTGTAGGCCCGGCATGGTCAGGTGGTTTGGGCGCTCGACTCGCAATCTGAGGGTCGCGGGTTCAAATCCCCGTTCCACCAAACGTGCTCGTCCTTTCAGCCGCGGGGCGTTACAATATGACGGTCAATCTCACTATTCGTTGGTGATGACTAGCTGCCTTCCCTCTAGTCTTACACTGCTAAGTTAGTGACATATATATGTTTGTGTAATATTACATACATAATTTTATTTACACGACTGACCAGAAAAATTTGGTGAAATCATTCATTCCTGTTTAAAATACATCTAAAACCCGAGCAGTAATTCATGGACTAAACGATAATGATGATAATTTTGTTTACATATTTATGTGGTGGGATAAACTGCAATAGTGATGACAGTTTTGTTTACATATTTGTTATGTGACTCATATGTAACTAATGGCTCTGCAATTTACAAGTGCTAGGCTCACAAGCAAGTTACCCCCTCCCCTGTAGCTTATTGGTAAGTCTGAAATCATGACGTTAAAAATCGGGTTTCAATACCCGTGGTAAGCACAGCACATATAGCCCATTGTATAGCTTTCTACTTAACAACAAATAAACAAGCAGTTTGGTGCACAAACACTTTAGAAAAAGTGAATTTTAAAAGCCAAAAGGAATCTATATGGACTTAATCAGTAATTATATGATTAATTAATTTTGTCCATTGCTTTTGCAATATCTGTTTTGTTATATCAGATGCTAATTTCCAAATAAAAAACATGTTGAAAGAGGCAATGCCCTTCAGAGATCTACATTACAACCAATCCCTAAATAATTCATTTTCTTCAGACAAAAACAAAAACATACGTTTATGTCTATCTCGAAAGGTGTATATATGTATATATATATATATATATATATAGATAGATATTTGAAATAATTATGAAAACGCGCACATTATAGGCGTTACAAACAATGAGTAATTGATCAGTTTATCATTTGTATAAATACATTACAGAAAATACAAAAGAAAAACGAACAAGTTTTACAATGCATTGATACTTTGATTTAAACAGAGCAGCATGCCTTGTATTTTTGCTACTATAAGTTTATCAAAGCATGGTTATAAAAATGTTCTAAATGTCTTACGTTACTTCTCACAATTTGGCCAAGGTTTATGGTTGTAGTTTGACCTTCTTATTTTTAAATAAACCCATGTAACCTTAATAATATTGAAATCGGGACTTAATGCTCTGTAAGTAGCACCCTACTTAACTTTTCTCATTCCATTACTTGTCGCCTGATGCCCTTTTCAGCCTTTCGGTTTGGTTATCTCCCCCCCCCCCCTAATCAATTATTATGACTATGGAGTAGCTACAAATCCATTGAGGCTACTTCGTACTAATGTGTATCTTGCTGGATTTATAGCTAGGTCATTGACAAGTTCTCTACTGATTTTTGTGTATCACGTAAAGCACACATTAACATCACTTTGAAGAGTTTAGTTTTTCATCTGGACTGCTTCTATTATCAACAGTACTAGTTTCACTCTCTTTTCACAGTGTCCACACCGCTCTTACTTAAACATGAAATGTTACCTCTATCTGTTGCATGGAATAAAACTAAGCAGATGAAACTTTAATTGTAACACATTTGTCATGCGGCACTTATGCCGTGGGAGCTTTGAATGTGCTCATAATACTTATTGCTGTACTTTTCTGAGTATTATACTGGTGTGATACAGTCTGATTGGTTGGATGGCAGTCACCCACAGTTTGAACCGCCAATACGTGACTACTTTGGTGTAGTTCATTTTTGTATAAAAGAGAGAAAGCAATTTCGTTATTTTTGAAATTTATACCCAATTTATTTACTGTTCTGTAATTATTCCCAGTACAATAGATAGAGACACGCTCTGAATTAATTTATATCATTTTGTAATCTCATTTACAACATGAACAAAGAATAATGAAGTTCCTGCCTCACATACTCGCTAACCTCAGCCACCTACGTCATATAAGTACCTGTAAACCTACCTACACGTGATAGACATAACATTGAAAATGCTTTTGTTGTCATATCTAGCCTCCAGAAAAAAAGCTGTGGAACGGAAAAATCAAAGGTTACTACATCGGCTACAAGATAGTGTCCTCATCAGAAACTTCCATGTATAAAACCGTTGAGATTAAAGGTAATACAGAAATGGAATCCCACGTGACGAATTTGAAACGATCAACAAAATATGCCGTTTCTGTTCAAGCATTCAATGAAAAAGGACCAGGTCCGATGTCTGAGAATGTGATTATTGTAACTTTGGCTGATGGTAAGTAAGGTTTAAAATTACTTTTTTATTTTAGAAGGTAGGGTATTTATGAGGAATTATTATCCTAATAAAGTAATTTTCATAGGTCAAAAAACAGTCAAAAATTATAAACAACAGTCATATGTAATATATTATTTAGCATAATACACAGTATAGTTACTTTTAGAGGATTTTGAATAAATCGTAAAATTTCTTGTAAACTTGTGAATAACTTTGGGTTTTCAAACGCTAGAAATCACGATTGATGACTTATGAGTATTTAATATGCACGTACTTTAAAACATGCGTATTATTTTACTGCTTATTATACTGAATATTTATAAACAAGTATAGCGGAGTTATCCATTTTAAATTTAGTAAATCTGATATTGTATTATTTGTTTTTAACAGTTTCTTCTCTCCCTGTTTGTGAATTTGCAATAAAATGAAAAAGAAATCAAACATTTAAGTTTAATGCTTAAGAAGAAACTAAATAAGTTTCAGGAACTGAAAGAAATCCCTGATTTCTTGTGTAAGTTGTTGAGATGTAGAGTCTACTTAATACTAAAACAAATACCAGAGAAACATCTGCATAATGTATCATTTGTCACTTGCTGTTCTTTTTTTTTACTGCTCGATAAGGTCTTAGTATGTGTGATCTCTGTACTTTGTGTAACATAGAAACAAGTCTTGCCTGGTGTAGATTATGTAATGACGAAGGTTACTAGAGTAAAAATGGTCAGTAACCACCAGCGAAGTCCTGGATATTAATGAATGGATCGTTGAAATGATCTTACACGATGCTATATATATGCAAAGTTTAGTATGATGATATAGTACAGACTTTTATCACTGATGTTAAATTAGTAGAGCACTTTAATATCGTTTTATTCGTTCTGAATAAGTAACACAAAACCACGCAAATCTACAAATAAAATCAAAAGAGTGTTCGCTCCTGTGAGTATTTATATATATATAGTTCCTCCAACTGCTCCGGTGCTAAGCCTTCTCTCTTCCACATCCCAGTCTCTCACAATCTCCTGGATGGACAAGCAGAGATTCGGTAGTCCCGTAACAGGTAGGCTTCCATGGTTGGTGTTGTTTATTTTAGAGCAAAGCCGCATTGGGCTAGCTGCTGTGTCCACTTCGGTGAATCGAACCTCGGATTTTAGCGTTGTAAGTTCGTAGACTTACCGCTGTCCCACCGGGGAACAACTTCCATGAAATAGGAAGACATAATTATAAAGAAATAAACTGGAAAAGCAATATATTGTCTAAATATTGTTTGGTAGAGTAGCTTATTTTATTATATTAAAACTATTATATTCTATATTTAATTTCTGTCCAAAATAAACTATGATAACGAGTTTTTATGTTGTACATGAAACAATAAAAACTGTTTTAATATCAAATGTTGACTAGTACCATATATTGAAATAATTCTACAATAATGAAAACAAGTTACGTAATGGAAGTAATTAAATCAGATGCTTTAGATTGACACAGACGAATCATTACTGTTTGTTCAATAACCTCTTGTTTCTCTTAGAGTACATTCTGTACCAAAAGGAAGAGCATGGCAACTGGCTGAAAGTATCTCTTCGCTCTCAGGAGACAACTTATACAGCTAAAGGGCTCAAGTGTGGCTCCAAGTATCAGTTTTATGTCGTGTCTTTAAACAGTGTAGGAAGAAGCGAACCAAGTGAAATCTTTACTGGTCGAACAGATGGTGCTGGTATGTTAGTTCTTCCCTAGACCTTTTGGATATGAAAATAAATATTAATTATTTCACAAAAGTTACAAGTAAAAATTCACTTGAATAACAGTTCGATCCTTACTGCTAGGGGTAAGTGACTTTATGCTTGTTGCTATCCTTAAGTAAGTAAAGTCACCTGAAATTCGATGTAGAATGTGTCATATAAGATTACTGTCCAAACATAGGTATTTAAAAGTTATTTCTGTTGTTAAATGCAAAGATTTTGACAAAATTTTTGTCTTCTATACATCTATGTGTGAGTGTGTAACTGAAGATGAAAACATAAATAAATGTAAACAAGTTTACATGCAATTAAAACTGGAAGAAAAATAGCATTTTGAATAATTCACGTATTTTTAATAGCAGTTTAAAAAGAACGAACATGAAACAAAAGTGAAATGCTTGATACAATAAAGTTTAAATATATGAACTGCATTTGTTTTGTAAACTTACTATTTCCTAAATGATTAAAAAATGCATGAATAAAAAATGAATGTAATAGTTTATGCAAAGAGCTATCATGTTTTGATGGGAATAAGCTATTCCAGGCCCAATCTATTATAATTTAATTCAAGTTATAGGTAAAACTATGTAATGTATTATATCAGGTTTTGATTTATTAGTTACATGTCATTAGTGAGAATAATAGCTTCTGCTATACTTCTATGTTATTGGCCCTATTAGTTTCTTTAGTGTATTTTTGTCATTAATTTATTTGACGATAACCAACTAAAATCTGCATCATGTAACGATTGCTTCTTTCACTCGATATTATGAATTCATTTTAAATTTTTTTCACAGTTCCTTACTACCATTTAACATCACCTCGTAGAGGAAGGAAGTATTTTTTTTTACGGTCTTAACAAGAATTATGAAACTTTACAGAAATTAGATATTAGTTTTATGAAATTCACGACGTATGTGTGTACAGCGTTATCTAAACTTTCAAGTGAAAGATAGCACGAAAATATGCATTAAATAGATATTGAACTTTGTTTTTTAATGTAAGGTTACATTTACCAAGTGTAAATCCGAAACAGTTTTGTTTATTTATTAGTTTAAGAATTTTCGTGCAAAGGGCTATTTACAAATAGCAGTTCTTAATTTTGAATTGACAAGCTAGAGGGAAAGCATTTATTCAACGCTACTCTTATCTGATGGAATAGTGGGATTTTATCCAAAAGGGCGGAGCGCATATTAAAGAAAATGGGACGTTAACTATGATATACAGTTCGAGTACTCTGATGCTTTGGCCATGCCTGGCTCCTCTGAAGCACTAACAAATAAGCACGATATCTTGTGGAATTTGGTGTTAATTATGAAAACTGAAAGGACTTCAATGGCACATTTCTAGCTCATAAGGTGTAAATTTAACGCCTTTAAGCACACCTTAGTTGCAAATAAATGTAATACATTACGCTAGCTAAATTCCTGCTGTAAATACATTTAATTTTAAATTATGTGACATATATATGTTATTTAATTCAGTGGACGCAGCCTTTGCTAAATGTTATTTATAGTTAGACAAGAAAACAATATTTCGTATGAATAAATTGTTTGTAACCGTGTTCGTTTTCCCGGTGATGTTAGATTTAATTATGTTAATGACTTTTACCAGAAGAGTTGCTAAAAATATTTATAAAATTGCAACTAATAATAATTAACTTTAATTATGAGTGGCAGGCAAACCACAAGAAACCTTTGTGCCACTCTGCCTTAAGTCACTGGTTGAGTATCCTCGCTGTTAGCAACTATACCAGTGTTTAAAAGCGGCTAGAATGTATACCTCATACGTTTCATAATAGTCTTGTCATTTATTTTGTTATTAATCACAAGTTTATGTTCATGATATAGATTTAACCAAATAAGCCAATTTTTAATATTATTTCTTATTCCCTCTGCTTCTAATATTAGCATAATCTGTCACGTCTCTTATATCAATGATACAGATAGATGTTTATTTTTAGCTCCGTTATCACCTTCAAAAAATGACTTGATCTTCGCTGATACTACGACTGCTAGATTAAACTTTTTGTCATGGCAAAGTGGTGGTTGCCCCATTGAAAGCTTTTCAATAAAACTGAGAAGAAAACCTCTTTCTCACTGGACGACGATCAGAGAACGAGTATCAGCCAGCCAATTGCAATATACGATTCAAGAACTCTTTCCTGGAACGTGGTATGATCTTCAAGTTACAGCTTACAGTAGCGCAGGCGCAACAGAAGCTCAGTACGAATTCCAGACCTTAAATACCACATTTCTAGGTACGAAAACGGCATAAATTATATTTTAAGTAGATAATCAAAATATTTTTCACACAAAATATTTATATAACTTTAAGAAAGCTGTTGGTGTGAGTTATTAAACAAGTTATCGTATAGTATAAATAGTACCACAATGTAACTACTATAGTTACTGAAGTTACCTTGAAACAAAAGTTTGGGATTGGGTTAACTAACTTTTCTTACTCGGATTGTATTTGGTACTTTTGGCGTGGGCAGACACTGAACATATTGCTTTTGGTGTTTATCTGGTAAATTAATTTTCGATAAAAACTTTAATTCTAGGAAATTAGCATAATTGTACCTAAATTTTCCTTTTAGTAACCATAATATCACAAATTCTAATTAATCTTTATTTGTTTGAACAGTGTACATAGCTTGATTTTGTGGTATTCAAGTACCATATATCTTACTCTCCTACGTAAGTTTTGTGCCATGCATACTTAAACGTTTTATAAGTTATAATTCAGAAAAACTAAATAGGTTATGTGGTAATTTAACACTAGTTTCTACTTTCTGCAGCAGGGCTCGGTCAAGGAGGATATATTCTGTTTCTTTAGATAGTTGTATTGCATCACACATAATCTTGTGTGAGTTGGGCTGCTGTACTAGTGTGACATGGAGCAAAGATACTTTTGATACTGGTGGTACAACTTTATGATTGGTTAGCTTATGGTTAATGTGAAATGTGCGAGACGTTTTCGCGATTGTTCAACCAGATTCTTCTCTGAAAATAATAAAGCTAAATATATACTGTACAAGTGCCGTATTTATTTTAATATTTACAATTCTTGGCCTATTGATGGTGCGTGTACCGTTTCCTTTATGAGCTATTTTTCACTTTATTTTCAAGTAAAAGTTAATTTTAAATCTCAATTATTTAAATGCAGTTTATTTTATAATTTAATGTTTCCGCAAATCAATAGTCTCTCACTATTAATATGACCAGCCTTTCTCCCAGCTCATCTCCTCCTTCCTTCGAAAATAAAATGTCTATTTTTGTTTCATCTCCACAATTGTCTATTTCTCTCATTCCGTCTACAATAAATCATTACACTTGCTCTTTCAAACATAAGATCCGAGAACCTCTCGCTGTTGCGAAGGTTAAGTAAGTAGTTGTGTACTAGGTTTTTCATTGGAGTACCAACATTTTAATGATTAATGATGCTTGTTAAACATATGGTCTCAGAATTAATTTATCTTTCTACATTTTTTAATATTCCTAATATAGATTTAATCGAAAAGAGTTTAGATTAACACACGAAAATTATCAGTTAATATAATAAATCTTTAAATAACATAGAAACAGAATCTTGTAATTTTAGCACATTTTCTCTGCAATGAAGTTTGGTTCAAAAAATTCAACCTTGAGTTATATTTTCTATTTGTATAGTTATAGATAAAGCTCTGTTACTATCGTTATTGTCTTCACAGATTAATTAATTCGTTGGGAAACTTTTTTATTTAAATCAGAAGAACCTGTTCAAGAAATATTGACTATTTCTCCGAGATCTCAAGAAACTGACTTAAGCCTTCCTTTGTTCTGGGATATCACCATCATTGTTCCTGTTGCTACATCTGTGGTCATCATTATCATAATCATTGTTGTTGGTTGCGTTTTATATAATAAAAGAGATTTTCACCACAGTACAAGCAGTGGTAAGTACTGTTATATTGACTCATAGAATTTGAAGCCATTTAGAATTTCAGTTTGTTTGATTGTTTTTAAGCACAAAGACACACAATGAGCTATCTGTGCTCTGGCCATCGCTGGAACCAAGATTATAAGACCTGAACCACCGGAGCGCTAGAGTTTCAGTTGAAATCACTCCAAATGGTAAAAATTGGGATTTTTCTACATTTATATCCGAAACAGCTTCAAATACTATAAGAAGAATGAATTCCACAAAAACCATGAACATTTTAGTCTCTAAACTTTGTTCATTAAAATAAGTCGGAAAGACTATTTCAGTAAATGCGATCATCATTTTTTAATTTTATTATTGTTAAGATACGTGTTATTGATGAATAAGTTTATGAAATGGAACTGAACTAAAAGGTATTGTTTTCAGATAAAAATTATTGATTACGATTAAGCTAAGGTTCAAAACAAATACTAAGTACTAAATATTATCAAAACGTTATGCAATATCGAATATGATATTTTATTTCTTATCGCAGTTGCAAAAGTTATAAGTAATTACACAGTCCCAAAATGTATTTGTTATTGTTTTATTCATTCAGCGTCATATCATGCATAAAATGGCTCTTTATGAGGTTTATTATATGTTTCCATTATGAAAACAAGAAACTTTCAATTTCACTGTTATTGTAAAAGAAAAAATGAAATTACAATTGAAAAGACAACAACAATAAAATATTTATATCTATATGTATATAAACTACATATGTTGACCACAGTATAACACATTACGGTACGTTTAATTAAGCAGTAGACAAAATACAAATCAAAACAAAGAAATAAATCAACTTTCAAAACAAACACGTGATAGCCCTGTGAATTATGAACAAAGTTTGATTATTTCGTAAACAATGTTTGTACATTCAAAGCTTCTAAGTCTATGTTATAATTACTTCTCAGTCTATCCAATGCTTTTTTTTTCTGAGATAAAACAGAATTTGTGACAATAAGATCACAACTGTTAAAAACAGTAAACGAAAGTAATAAGACCTTTCTATTTTTTTAAGTAACTGCACTTAACAACAGCTTATAACACAACCATTCTCTGGTCTAAAAGTAAAAAAAAAAAAAAAAAGATCAAATCTGTCTAAGCTATTGTATCTCAACTACATTAGCCAAAATGAATAGTATACTAAAGGAATGATGCTAAGTACTTAAGATAGTGATGGTGGTGGGGGAGATATGTAGAATTTAACTTAAAATTTAGTTTCATGAGAAAAACCACCAAAAATAATATGAAAAACTTTTTGGGGCTAATAAGCATCCTAAAACTACGAAACCCAAAACTGGACATTTGCCCAAGAAGTCGGGAAACTTTATCATTCAGCTGCCACCAACCTGCAAATAAAACTTAACTGAGACGCTTTTTTTACAATACTAACAGAAAACTGCTGGGATTCGTGGAGTAGACATACACGAATTAAAAACGTCTTCCTCTTATTTAGTCCCACATAAGAACCTCTATGTATATGCTGGGATTCGTGGAGTAGACATACACGAATTAAAAACGTCTTCCTCTTATTTAGTCCCACATAAGAACCTCTATGTATATGCTGGGATTCGTGGAGTAGACATACACGAATTAAAAACTTCTTCCTCTTATTTAGTCCCACATAAGAACCTCTATGTATATGTTTCATTACACCCATTTATAAGCCATAAAACATTATGTAACAATACAATTCGTGTCTAATCAGAAGACGAGTTTGGAACCTGTATCTAAATAGTCTACGTTATAGCTGTCTTAGTTTTCAAAAGGTTCCGACAACATAATAGTTTCTATATCTAGTCAGCAAATGTTGATATAGTTTATTTTATCTAGCTTCGCAAAAGAGGGTTTTACAGTACTGAGTTGATCATGGAAACTTATTTTCAGTGAGAATCATACATATCTCATATGTTTAAAATTTAAGCATGAGCAGTTTGGTTGAATTCTCTGCCTAAAGAACAGAGAACAATAGATTCGGTGCATCTGTCGGAGTTAAATAAAGAAAATAGAGCTTGTTAGTTCATATAACTGTGGGATTCAAAATGCTAGAAAATTATGATATCCATAGTGTATGTAGGATCATATGGAAATTCCAAATACATATTTACACTTGGCATAACTAGAGAGTGCTGGGACAATTAAAGTGGTATGAGACGTATCTATGCTTACTAGCACAGACCCGCAAAACATTTATGGTCAAATTAGTATCTTTACTGCAACAGTACTTCTTTAAATACAGGATTTCTAGAATAATAATAAAAAAATATATATTCGCAGACACCGAAATATATAAGTACACTTGTCTTAGGCCTCGTATTAGTTAAACCTTTAATAAGTACGGCCTATATTCGATAAAGAGATAAATTAACAATGTAACGTTTTTAGTTTAATTAAGTCAAAACTTTACCGTACTTAATGCTATCAATAAATAAACTTATGTTAATGTACGACCTACGTTAGACCTTTTTAAAAGCTTTGATAACATTTTAATATGTTTTACAAATGCCTACTAAAGTATGTCCCCCGGTGGGACGTTAAAATCAGGGGTTTGATTCTCCTTGGGGGGCACACAGCAGATAGCACGATGTGGCTTTGCCATACACACATAGTGAAATACATTTACATCTGCCTTTTGTTTACATCAGTTGAAATCAAGTGCTTGCACATGCGCATTTAGGTAGTAAGGTGCCCGCGCATTATCAGGACAGATAAAAACTGAGTATTATTATAACAGATAATACACACACACACATGTATATACAAGATAATATGTATAAGAAACCAAAAGCAAGAATCAAAATAAATAATAAATACGAACATAAGTAAATCCAAAGGTAAGAGAGGATGATCATAGTACACAGTGTTAACCACACTTTTTAAAACATATAGAATTTGTATTTCAAAAATTATATTCGTCACATGTTCAATTAAAAATTAGAATATTACAGTTAATATGGACTCCACAAATGGAGGGAGGAGAGCTTATGCTTCGGATGGTGATAAACTCGTCTGGCATCTAAATAAGATAAACAGTTTTTGATTGTTTGTAGCTAAGCACAAAGCTACACAATGGGCTATTTGAGCTCTATCCATAACGGGTATCGAAACTCTAGCACGGTAAGTTCGCAGACATACTGCTGTGCCACTGGGGGGCACAGTTTCTGAATATGGACATTGTGTATATGTCTTTCATATAAAGAACATTTTGTTTAATTTCTTAGTTTCGAAATAATTATTTTAAGAACAAATAGAATCTTTAAGAGTTATGAATAGAGTTACCAGGTTTTCAGAGTGAAAAACTGAGACATTGTCTTTTCGTTACGGAGTAAACTGTAACAACTCTGAAAAGAGTTTAAGTTGCAATAACACATATCTTACCATTTTCTAAGCAATCTGTTTTTTATTGTATCACGTTTTAAATTAGACAAACAAAATTTATTAAAAGCTTGTCAAATTAACAAAAAATAAATAAAAACACGCTCAAGTTGTTTTGAACTTACTCAAAAACGTTGCTTTTTCGTTTTCTTTTTTTGTGGCTGAGCAGGTCTTCAATTCGCAATTCCTGCGGCTGCCCAATCACAGGTTAGGATAAGAAAACATAGCATAGGGAGGGAACTCTGTACTATGTAATCTATTTTTGCTAGTTGATTCTCCAAGTAAAACTTAAAGCAGCTGTGTACAACGAAAAAGGTACATATCAAATTCATATTGAGGTACAGAAAAACTGGGACAATAGAATACTCTTATTGTTTCTGGTCGAGACAAAAAATAAAGCTAAAAACTGGGACAATAGAATAGTTTTACTGTTTCTGGTCGAGACAAAAATTAGGCTAAAAACTGAGGCAATAGAATACTTTTATTGTTTCTAGTCGAGACAAAAAATAAGGCTAAAAACTGGGACATTAGAATACTTTTATTGTTTCTGGTCGAGACAAAAAATCAGGCTAAAACTGGGACAATAGAATAGTTTTGTGGTCGAGACAAAAATTAGGCTAAAACTGAGGCAATAGAATACTTTTATTGTTTCTAGTCGAGACAAAAAATAAGGCTAAAAACTGGGACATTAGAATACTTTTATTGTTTCTGGTCGAGACAAAAATCAGGCTAAAAACTGGGACAATAGAATAGTTTTACTGTTTGTGGTCGAGACAAAAATTAGGCTAAAAACTGAGCAATAAAATACTTTTATTGTTTCTAGTCGAGACAAAAAACAAGGCCAAAAACTGTGACAATAGAATGCGTTTATTGTTTCTGGTCAAGACAAAAAAATGGAACAATAGAATAATTTTACTGTTTCTGATCGAGACAAAAAAAAAGGCTAAAAACTAGGATTTCAGTAACCGTAGTTATAATCGTATTACTTTTTACAGTTTTATAGCAATTAAACATTTTTGTGTTTACTAGAGGGCTCCAGAAATTTGCAGCTCAAGTCCAGACAAGTTGCAGAAACAATGGTTTTAAAAGAAATTAAAGCGCCACCTAACCACGGTTGTTTGTCTACTGGAATTTCAAGTGATGACGGCACACAAAGGTCATCATCGTCTAGCCAATCACGTCCTGTGTCATCAATGATGGCATCTATTGGTGGTAAACAAAGTCTCCAGCTTCTTTTTTTTTTGTTAAATCTAATTAAATGATAATGTTCATGATTTTTAGTCAACACAAGATTTTTGTTTCGATTTTTCAGTATTACTTATGGTGCCATAATTTTAACATGTTCAGATGACAAGGTGCTGTTGGATCTTTAAAAGTGAATCGATATCGCAATTATCTAATAATATCTAGTAGCTTTTCGTATCCTTGATTTCAGTTCAAACAACACAACATTACCAATTAATGGTTTCATTTCTACCATCATGTGTCACATATTTTTTTAGATATGTCACGTTTTAATATTTAAATCTAAAAACATTCATTTTATTCTATAAATGGTAGTTAAAACAAGTATTTAACCCAGCTTTTAATTTAGCAATCCCTGTTGGCTTTGTCTACTTTTATAACTTCTCAAATACAGAAATGTCAATTAGTCTGAAACATGATATTCGACTCCATATTATTGTTTCTGGTTGATGATACTTTCATCTTTCTCTAGATGTTGCTAACTTTAAGAAAAAAAAACACAATAAAACAAGAACATTTCAATCACTAGCAAAGAAATTCGTAAAGTTGTATCTACTAGTCTACTACTATAAGTAACCTTGCAGTTGATTTAATCTGTTTGTTTTATAATACATTACACAAAACAATGTGTTATATATATATGATTTTTTATCAACGTCAACAAAAACGTTTTATACCTTACATCTAGGTCGATATATATTTGAACTTTATTAAATACCAGTGATTTAAGTTAAATATCCAAGACCAATTGAGTGTAAAGCATAATACATTAAAAGAAATGTTCTATTTTGTTTTCAGAACACCTAGCATTTTGAGAAATATTAGCTGTCACCAGTAGGAGTATGCTAGTGTTAAATTTCATAACTTAAATCAACTAGATCACATAACGCATTACAACAAATGGTGACGAAAAAATGTGAAAACTGTTTTGAAGGGAACGATGAATATAGTGTAATTTAATTCCTTCATCCATGTTACTGTTATTTTTATTTTGGCGATGGATCAGATAGAACAAACTTCAACAACAGCCTCTTTTGAAGAGAATTTTCTTGAAGCAAACAAACGTTGCTTGCCAGTTAATACCATGAATGCCATTTTAAGAAACGTGAAGTAACGGAAGTAACTTGAGACCTTTTTATGTTAATTATTTTGGCTATTTAAGGTTCTGTCTTTGTAGTGCTGGCTATGGCCACTTAAATGCTTCAGGTACGAAAGCTAGTGAAATGTATGATTTTGTCGAAGCTGAACTAAAAAATAAAATCTGAATAGTAACGTCAAACCATTTTGTGGTCACTTGTGAGTTAGTTTTGGTATTCTACTGCTGTCCATTAATAACTGTTGTTAGTTAAGAAAGCTTCTAAATCAATCTTTGTTTGTAATTAACTCTGAAAACCGTATTTCATCAGTTTTATTACCAGGAGACGATGAAGGGCATCCTTACGCTACTCCCTACGACACAATTCATGAATATCGTTTAGAAGAACCTGGAACATCCGGAATTCGAACCTTGAACCGAGGATGCCGTGACAGACGAGAGGATAATATTTACATCAGCAGGCAGGTAAATTTGTAATCACTAAGGTAAATAAAAATGTACTTTTGACAACATCTTAAGATGTAATAATATTATTTTGATAGTTACAGACAGTATTCCCGAACCTACACAGTTAAACAGATACTATTATAATTGTTACCATTTATTAGAACACATGCTTATCAATCAGCACATGATTGTTTAGTTCTAAACGACTGAATTATTTGTTGTGTTTCTATTAATTTCGTAAACATTTTCGGGTTCTTTACACAATAAATATTTATTATTTTGAGTTTGAATGCCGAGAGCTGGTGAAAGATAAACAAACACATAATACTGTAGATAAACTTTTGTCTATCATGATAATATCAGTTGACATGTTTTGTACCAAACGCTTGAGTAGTTATGATGTGTAACAAACAAAAGTTAGATCTGATATATTATTTTCAAACACCTTTGATTTGAAATCCATAGCAGACAAGACAATAGAAAGAACGTAACAAACAAGTATGTGCAATCTTGTGTGATATTTATTACAAAGATTAGATCTAATATGTTTGTTGATTTAACAAATTTAAATACACATTTTGGATCTTTATCATGGATTTAGATTATTATTATAACATTTATAGAAGTGTCCGCTTATTCTTTCGTCAGAGTGGTCAGATGTTGGACAGAATGATCAGATGTCGGGCAAACTAAAATATAAGATAAAAAACAAATTTATTAAAGCTGCTAGAAAAGTGAAAACTGACAAATTTTATTCCCAATAGAGCCATGGTTGTGGTAAGCCTACTTTTTAAAGTTTTTTGGTGCGGTGGGGCTTTTCAGTTTCTCTTTCATTTTGTGATGTTCCACTATAGTGACAAAACTACAGTAAATGGAACAAACTGTCAGAAGTCTTGACATCAGAGAAACTAGACTTGATACCGTTATCCATGAGTTAAGGATGAGACTAAACAGAACGCATGAATGTGTTGAAACAAGGTTTTCTTGTTTCAAATATCATGATAGTTTGTTCTATTCTCTAAGATTATTCACTAACATTCATCTAATTATGAAATAGTCCGTCAATGAAATTTTCTAGAAACTAGAATAAATAACATTGATGAATGACTGCTAACAAATATAATGTATTATTCCAGAAGCTTCTAAAACACTGGGAGAAATAGGAAGTGTTTGGCTGAAAATCTCTGGATGGTACAGTAAGATAAACAGGAATAGCCTCTAACCTATGTTGTGGCTACGTGCTAGTGATGTTGTAATTACTTGAATCTTAAATATTTCACTTCAAGTCAAGTGCTTTATGCTGTATAACTCTGTTATATTTTTTTAAATTATGGGTTTTTCGGGTTGGGTGAAAATTGTAACAGCACTCAATATACCACATAGCATTTTTAGTGTAAATAAGCTCGTTTTGAGCCACAAGATCATGTTATTGTAGCTAAAAGTGCGTGAAAATAAGTATGTGATACTTTAGTAATTAACTGAGCAAGTAACGCTTGTATAAAATTATAAAAGCAGATCTGTGTTAAAATGTAGAACAATAATGCCACTAATATTTGTTTACTACCACTTTTTGACTTAACAAATTTACTGTATCAAGTTATAAGGGCCAAATACCTTATTTTACTTCCGTTTGTAATCTGCTGAATTAAAGCCCAACAAAACATTATTATTATTTTGTTGTTGTTTATTGTTAAACAAAAATCTATACAATGGGATATCTATGCTCTGCTCTTCACAGTTACCATAATCCAATCTACACCGTTATAAGTCTTCAGACTTATCGTAGAGTACATCTAATGTAATTAAACGTTTCAAAATTGTGATTAAGAAGTTCGTTTTGTTAAGAAATTTATACCCGTAATTATGTTGTAAATATAACTATTGCTTCCAAACAGTGCTATATATATATATATATATATATATATATTGTTCTATATTGTTACTAATTA